TCACCGGGAGAAACCGATCGATTCAGCACAAGTCCGGGCGCCGAGTCGACTTTTTGGGTACCTGCTTTGGTGGTAATGGGTTGGGTCGCTGGGAGAAACCGATCGATTCAGCACAAGTCCGGGCGCCGACACTTGTGGCGCCTGAATGTACCCTAGACCACGGACAGCGCCCTGCGGCCCCACAGGCCGCAGAACCCAACGCGTCACGGGGTTCATGCAAGAGCTGACGTCCGATGGTAAATCGGGAGGTACCCAAAAAGTCGACTTTTTGGGTACCTGCTTTGGTGGTGCTGGGTTGGGTCGAAATTCTTGGGCAATCTATGGGGACGAGGGTTCAGCATTACGGGGTTCATGCAAGAGATGATGTCCGATGGTAAACCTGGGAGGTACCCAAAAAGTCGACTTTTTGGGTAGCTGCTTTGGTGGTGCTGGGTTGGGTCTAGATTCTTGGGCAATGATATCCTTTATGGGGACGAGGGTTCAGCATTACGGGGTTCATGCAAGAGATGACGTCCGATGGTAAACCTGGGAGTCCTCTATCGTGGAACCCACCTTTGCAGTTTGGCCTGCGAGGGGTCTTCGGCGAAGCGATGACGTCCGATGGTAAATCTGGGAGGTACCCAAAAAGTCAACTGTTTGGGTACCTGCTTTGGTGGTGATGGGTTGGGTCACCGGGAGAAACCGATCGATTCAGCACAAGTCCGAGCGCCGAGTCGACTTTTTGGGTACCTGCTTCCGCCCTTCTCCCGCAGGAAACGCACAACACAAACACCGGCTGCCTCTCACCCGACAACCTGGATGACGGGGGCTCTTCACGACTCCTGCATTTGGCTCAAGGGGTGCTCCAGGAAACCCTACCCTCCCCACATCCACGGCAACGTCCTTCCTCCTACCGTGGAACCACCCGCTTCCACACCCTTCCGTCCCCCTCCCCGGCCTACCGCACTGCCGACATTCCGCCACGCGCGCGTGCCGGCTACGGTCTCTTCCCTGGCTGGCGCGAGAAGCTCGCCATCACCTCCCCGAGCTTCCGTTTGCGCTGCTCCGTCCTAGAACCAACACGCCACATGGCGCGGACACGGGCACCTGACAGGCATGCGAAAATCTTACCGGGGCCTTTCACGTTACCACGGGCACTGGCTGGACCTCGTCCAGCGCAAAATCTAGACAAAGCCTAGCGCATTCCTGGGAAAATTCCAGGGCATTGGCCGGGATTAAAAATAAGTTCATCAATTTTTGAGCAAATCAGGGAACCTACATGCAAGCGGACATGCTAGATAATTCTACAACCATGGAAAAAATGGCGAACTCCTACCCGGGGGCGGTCTAAGGCTAAGGCTAAGTCTAACGCTAAGGCTAGGCTAAGGTTAAGGCTAACATCGACAGTCACGCCTCACCCCACCTCTCTGCCTGGAGCAAGGCTAGCGCTAAGGTTCTATCCCTTGGGGGTTAACAGTAGATTAATCAATTTTTGGGGACATCTGGGAACCTAAACACAAGAGGAAGTCCTAGAAAATTCTACAACAATGGAAGAAAATAGGTTCGCAATTTTCTACGCATACCTGGGAAATCCTACGAACAAACCCCGGGTCCGGAAAGGTAAAAAGGTAAGGTCTAAGTCTAAGTCTAAGGCTAAGGCTAAGTCTATGGCTAAGGCTAAGTCTATGGCTAAGGCTAGGCTTAAGGCTAACATCTCACGCCTCACCCCACCTCTCTGGCTAGAGCAAGGCTAGCGCTAAGGTTCTATCCCTTGGGGGTCGGCGGCTGCAGGCGGTAGCCTGGTAAATAAACTAGAAAAAATGTTGTTTTCCGTGCTAAGATATGTTCTGGGGAATGCTGAATATCATCGCCTCACCATCCACATCTTCTGCAATGAGCAGCAAAGGCTTTTGCACTTTGGCTACCTGGCATTTACCAATGATTAATGATGCAAGTTTTCCAGCGCTTCATCAAGGAAGCGTGAGCTATCCTGCGTCCAGTAGGTAGTCGCTTACTAGTAGCTAGTAGTGAACTACCCCCTTGCTTGATTAAGTAAGGAGGCAGGGGGCCACCTCGGGCTTTAAAAGGTTAAAATACTTGAAATCTAGTGGTTGAACCACTTGCTCCTAGTAACCTAGTAGCGATGCCCTTTGTTACTAGTAGCTTCTTGTTCCTAAGAGTAAGTTAGTTGAACTAATTCCTTCAGATTTTCATGTTCCTTCGGATTCTTAGAGTTGTGGAACTAATCCAATCACTCAGTCGCTAAAAACGCCCTGTGGGCTTTGTGCTGTGACATCTGATTATGAAAATACAATGCCTCGGCAACTTGCCCTTGGTTGGGCCTGCTCCAAGAGAGGGAGAATTGCCTGGCAAAAAAAATTAAAACACCATCCGAATGAGCCTGGAACCAGCGACATACCTTAGCTACGAGTCCCAGCCTGGACAGAGGAGATCTTCTTGTCAAAAATGAGCACGAGTGGATTCTGTGCATGTCAAAGACTATGGAAGGTCGTGAACGGAAACGCTGAAGACCAAAAACAAGAAAGCCGTAATCAAATGTCTGACGGTAAGTTGATGCTTGGGCAGCACGCACTTGAAACAGGATGGAAACCATTGCATGTGTCTGCCTAGCCTCCATCTCAGCTTTCTGCGCCTGGGTCGCAAAAATACGCATCAGGGAAGAGAGTCAAGAACTATGGGCATATGAGCTTGTGAAAGGCCATTCTTGTTGGCTTGTCATCTGTGTCTGTTAGCATGAGGAAATCAGGTCTCACAGTGCTGTGTCTCTAAAGCTGCCAGTTATCTCCAGTTGACTGTCCCCATCAACATCCCTCAGCTGGCCTTCACGTTGGTGATGAAGTACGGAGAGATGTACCTCAAGCGTAGCATGATGTGTGCTTGGAAGGTAAGATTGCACATTGTATCCTCGTAAATTGAGGTTTGAGAATCATCGGGTCCAAGTCACCCTCGATCAAGCTGCATACCCTCGACGACCTGACCATTTCAACTCCACAGGTATTCTGGCAACAGTCGAAATTGGCTGTTGCCAATGGGAGTTCTTTTGTATCTTTCAAGTGAATTCGCACAAGGGGTGGGATCAGTATGCCTCCAGTTCGTGGTCCATGGTTTTCCCGTCCGACCTGCGAGCTTATCGCATTTGGTACTACTTGTTACTAGTAGCTTCTAGCTACTAGTAGCGATGCACTTGTTACTAATAGTGATGCACCTGTTACTAGTAGCTCGCATTTGATTTGGACTTGGAACATCTTGGAACTCTTACATTTTGGCGTTCTTGGTTGATACAATGTCTTTAGGCCGATTGAAGGGGCCTGCGAAATGGCATCGAAAAACTGAACAAACTACAATGTGTTCTCTCTTGATTCACGACGTTTCCAGTCGCTTGGCCCTTGGCACTGTGATGGTGCCATCCTTCCCAACCTATGTGCAAAGCCAAGAACACTATATCTATATACTATATTATATACTTCTGTTCTTGATAGGCAAGTGCTCTTCCAAAACTGCAAGGGTGGCCTTTTCAAACGCCTCTGTAATCATCTTGCCAATCTGCTCATCCCCATTCGCAGCAATGGTTGCGACCTCGGATTGCTGAAAGCAAGCATTGCCGAGCTGTCGGAAGCGGCCGAGAGCATCACACTCCGAATCTTGTCCGGAGTTTCAATGTGAGTGGCTTGGCTAGCAAGGTCCTGCAGAGGAAAGCAAACCTTCCAGGCACTCGGATAAAGCAAGCAACGGAATCAACTCAGTGTCCTCTAGCACTATCTTTGCAGCATGGTCCATACCACGCTTGATGTCCATCCTGCAGCTTTTGGAGGTCACTGCCATGATACAAGCAGGCCCACTCGACATAGCATCAACCGCATTTGCTTCGAACCAGGATGTGACACATCAGTCTTAACTGCTGCTGAAAAGCGGATTCATCCCAGCAGCTACAGCCTGCTGCAGGCTCAAGTTCAAGAAAAAGGTTGTTGAGGCATTGACATCTTGTCAGAAGTGTCTGACATGGCCCTGGGACTTGGTGGAAAATGAACAAGTCTACCAGGGAGGCCAACCTGCCATGGATTCAGGTAAGACCGCGTACCGCATGGCGTTCACACGTGATACTACTGAAACATATGATTATATTTGATACGCCTAAAATACTTATTTTATTCTATTCTATTAATCTAGTCGCCACGGGTAGGCTGGAGCCTAAAACCCTTGTCATGGTTTTGGAGGGTTATATAGATTTTGTTCCAGCCAAGTATGCAACATGATGAGTCTTACACGAGATGAACTGCTGCTTCTCCGGACTCCTACCCAAAAAACGAGCCTTGCAGCCTTCTCTAAAAATTGCACCTGAAATAGCAGGCAAAGCCAACAAATAAGAACATTGCGGTTAAAGAGAACAGAATCAAAAAGCAATAACCTGATCAAACAAAAAATAACATGCCCCCTAGTCCGGTGGTTTGCTGGTCCTTTAGTCTCCTGGTCCCCTGGTCCTTCTGCGTCTTGGTGGCTTTTGTTCCTAGTAGCAAGAATGCTGCTAGTAGTAAGGCCCTTTGTTACTAGTAGCGATGCCCTTCCTCCTAGTAGCGTTCTTGTCCCTGGTAGTAAGGCCAGGAGCTACTAGTAGCGTCCTTGCTCCTAGTAGCGATGCCAGGAGCTACTGTAGCTTCTTGTTACAAGTAGTAAGGCGCTGTGCCCTCTCCGCCACGAAATCTGCACTACCCTTGCCAATGCACTGCCGCACTACTTTTGCCATTTGCCAAGGCACTGCGCCTGCCACGACTATATATACATATATGTGTGTGTGGTTGCAAACCACTCACGAGTAGTTTAGCTGATGCTATTTATATTTATTTGTTTGATCCCTCCCCCAGCAAACGACTGTTCAAAGAGAAATTTTGAAAGCTGCAAAACAACAGAATCAATAAAGAACTTCGTTTGAATTCTGCCACGATAAGATTTGCACGAGCCAGCACTGTGGCGGTCGTCGTGCCATCACCAGCAACATCATTGGTTTTGCTTGCAACCTTAGGTGGGCTGGAAGAATCAAAAAGCTCCTCAAAAGGCAAAGGACCAAAGGGAGCGAAAGCCTCCTCATGGGCCCACGCTGTCTTCACCAATTGAGCACCCACGTTGACCATCGGAGCAGACCTGGGACAAAAAGCGCATATCTCATGATCATTGTTACATTGCGCTTTCAAAATTGAAATCGGACCAACACAAACAAATCGACTTGGACTTGCAATATTAAGCAGCTCACTTTAAATCAATGGACTTTGCAACTGTTACTCCATCCTTCGTCACCTCGGTGCATGACATCTCATCTGCCACAGGTCAAGTTTTGCCTTTTGTGAATTTTACGCACTTGTTGTACAAGTTTGGATTACACAAAGCCCAAATTGCAAGGTGCCTTCGGTGCTCCGAATGACTGCTCGATGACCACGTTTCGACCCTGCCAATCTGCTCATCATGATATTGACAATGTGAGAACTTTCAACTCAGCTGTCAACATTGCTATTAGGTTGAAGGCCATCGCTATTAGGTTGGACTTCACCGATCTTTACAAATCGGATGCCTTCGGCCCCATAGTCACTGCGACTGCATCTGCCAAACGATTGCAACCTGCAACAGTTTTAGACCCAAGACAAGTGGATTTGCAAAGCTTCATCTAGCCTTCAAGCATAAGTGCCCTGGCTTCGCTGCCATGGCGGATATCCTGAAAGCCATGCAACTCAAAGGACAAACTCTTCCATTGGACCCACATGAGATTCCCACTCTTGGCAAATACATTCTCTCTATGCTCACAATCTGTTCTTGCAGAACTTACAGGCGCAATAGAAGAAAAACATGCCACAAGAAGCAATAAAGTGTTGCTGGATCTGAAGTGTGATGTTTTGTGCGATGGTCCTTCCTCACTAGTTGGACTACCCGCTGTTCGGAGCAGTTTGTTGCGATGTTTGGAAGCACTACGAGTATCACGCCGCACCATGCAGCACATAGAATACCCCTAACACCCGAGCATGGAAAGCTGTCCTTGGCGGCTGCAAAACATCTGATGCCAAGTGGGCGAGCCTGGCTGGACATGTGTGGGCAGGTTACCTAGAGCGCATAATGCGCTAAGCTGGTTTTTCAAGTAGCGTCCTTGCTCCTAGTAGCGAAGACAGGAGCTACTAGTAGCGTCCTTGATTTTCCAAGTCTTGGACGAGTCTGTGGAGCCACATTTAGTTTGAAGCCACTTGAACGAAGCGACAATCAATGCAGGGAGCGGGCTGCAGCTTGTCTGAGTGTGGAGAGCATCTTAGTGGTGCCTCATTGTCATTCCACGGAAAAAAATATACGGTGTAATATTCAAACTGCCGATGTTTTTTCAGAAGGATAAGCAAAACAAACCAGAGATTTGCAAAAGAATTGGTTTGGCTTGCATTTTGCTGAGAGCCCAACACACAAAACTGGGCTCCTACTTTGGAGTCCTTGAGCCTCCGAAGAAAAGCTTCGGAACTTTTTGGTGCCAGCCAGTGCTAGAGTTACCAGGTTTGTACAGAATTGCTGTCATTTGGTGCAGTGCACGGGCTACCTATACCACCTGATGCATCATTGAAAAAGTCAGAATGCTCCGCCTGTGTATGCGTCAACACCACTTTTCCCTCTCCAGCCACAGTTGAAGGAGCTCCAAGGAGCTCTTCGGGTCTTGTGCCGTGACAAAGACTTCAGACAGCGTGCTTGAGCAAGCTATGCATGAGGCCTCCCCGCAGGAATTTCACATCCATCACAGCTGCATGCGGTAACCGTAATCCAATGACAGTTGAGTTAGAAATCGTGCGGATATAGTTCGGGAATTAATTCATCTTTCTCACCCTTTTCGTTGGAATTTACTGTACCACACTTTGGAAGTAATGATTTAGTAATGTTCAACTTCGGCTGCCAGTTGCAGCATCTGGGGCTCCACGTGTTCATCTCTTCACTGGTAGCTACAGCACTTTGGACATCCCATTGTCAACTTCTGCTGCTATGTATGTGTACAGCAGTTTGGGCTGCCAGTGTTGAAATTTCGTCTGGGTTGAATGCTTGGTTGCTTGCGATTGGCCTTGGTTGGCTCGACGCTGTGAAAGCTGGAGGGTGTCGGGGGAGGGGCGATGCCCTCCCACCAAAAAGCAAATCAACCAAGAACTGATCCAGCAAGTTGCTTTACCTTCCGTCTTTCCAGTCTTTCCTGTCTTCCTTCCTTGTGTTCTTGTTTCCTTGCTTCTTGATTGTTTGGTTCCAGCCTTAGCTTTGTATCAGGTTGAAGGGGCTGCGGGAGGGCACTTGCAGCCCCTCAACGAAAACAAAAGAAGCAAACCAAACAAGAACTGACCCGGCAAGTCGTCTTGCCATCAAAAAAAGAAAAAGACTGGCAGGAATTCAAAAACGCAGAGAAGCAAAGGGCAAAACAGACAGTTAAAACAGTGAAAAAAACAAAGGAAAAAAGCAAACAAGTAGAGAAGGAAACATGCAGAAAAGAAGAGTGTCTCTGAAAACTGAACAAAAACAAATAAAAAAAACATTTATAAATTTGTAAAACCAAAAAAAACACATCCATCCAATTGTACAGAAGCATCTTGCACTTTTGCCTGCCTAAAGCTAAAGGCATACCGGCCGAACCCTTGCGACAGTGCACTCCATGCAAATGTCGATATGTTTGCCTCCAACCCAAAGAGCGATGGCCTCCAACCTAAGAGCGATGGCCTCCACCCTAGCAGCGATGGCCACCACCCTAGTAGCGATGGCTTCCAACCTAAAAGCAATGGCCTCCACCATAGTAGCGATGGCCTCCGCCCTGGTGGCGATGGCCTCCACCCTAGTAGCGATGGCCTCCAACCTAAGAGCGATGGCCTGCAACCTAAGAGCGATGGCCTCCAACCTAGTAGCGATGGCCTCCACCCTAGTAGCCATGGCCTCCAACCTAAGAGCGATGGAAGCCAACCCTAGTAGCGATGGCCTTCACACTAGCAGCGATGGCCTCAAACCTAAGAGCGATGGCCTTCACACTAGTAGCGATGGCCTCCAACCTAAGACCGATGGCCCCGATGGCCTCCACCCTAGTAGTGATGGCCTCGGATGGCGTCCAACCTAGTAGCGATGGCCTCCAACCTAGTAGCGATGGCCTCCAATCTAGTAGCGATGGCATGGCCTCCAACCTAAGAGTAGCGATAGCCTCCACCCTAGTAGCGATGTCTTCCAACCTAAGGGCGATGGCCTCCAACCTAAGAGCGATGGCCTCCAACCTAAGAGTAGCGATGGCCTCCACCCTAGTAGCGATGGCTTCCAACCTAAGGGTGATGGCCTCCAACCTAAGAGCGATGGCATCCAACCTAAGAGCGATGGCCTCCACCCTAGTAGCGATACCTAAAAGTAGCGATGGCCTCCACCCTAGTAGCGATGGCTTCCAACCTAAGGGTGATGGCCTCCAACGTAAGAGCGATGGCCTCCAACCTAAGAGTAGCGTTGGCTTCCAACCTAAGAGCGATGGCCTCCAACCTAAGAGTAGCGATGGCCTCCACCTAGCAGCGATGGCTTCCAACCTAAGGGTGATGGCCTCCAATCTAAGAGCGATGGCCTCCAACCCAAGAGTAGCGATTGCTTCCAACCTAAGAGCGATGGCCTCCAACCTAAGAGTGATGGCCTCCAACCTAAGAGTAACGATGGCCTCCACCTAGCAGCGATGGCTTCCAACCTAAGGGTGATGGCCTCCAACCTAAGAGTAGCGATGGCCTCCAACCCAAGAGTAGCGATGGCCTCCACCCTAGTAGCGATGGCTTCCAGCCTAAGGGTGATGGCCTCCAACCTAAGAGCGATGGCCTCCAACCTAAGAGTAGCGATGGCATCCACCCTAGTAGCGATGGCTTCCAACCTAAGGGTGATGGCTTCCAACCTAAGGGTGATGGCCTCCAACCTAAGAGTGACGGCCTCCAAAATAAGAGTAGCGATGGCCTTATGGCTTCCAAAATAAGGGCGATGGTTCGCAACCTAAGGGTGATGGCCTCCAACCTAAGAGCGATGGCCTCCACCCTAGTAGCGATGGCTTCCAACCTAAGGGTGATGGCCTCCAACCTAAGAGCGATGGCCTCCACCCTAGTAGCGATGGCTTCCAACCTAAGGGTGATGGCCTCCAACCTAAGAGCGATGGCCTCCAACCTAGTAAAATACCCTGTGCGATCTGATAGGTCATCTGTTTGAACACGTGTCAGTTTGTGCAAGAATGGCCAACGTACCTTGTCGAGGGTATGCAGTATTGCACATCTGAAGGGCAGCTCATCTGGCAGCCACACAAGGGACTGCACATTCTGAGGGAGGGTTTGAAGGAGGGTCTGAAGAAGGGTTCAAGTTACAATGCATATATAAACAAGTTTACGACGCCTAATAAATGTTCACTCTTCATTTCATCCAAACGTGATCTAAAGGCTGACTCAACGTCCGATTAACAGGCAAGTCCAGGTGCCATGATGCCTGCGCCATGGGCTGCGCCGGCATCGGTGCCATCTGAGGCATGCGCGCTGGCATTGAATGTCAATTTCGAAAACTATATAACATATATATATATATTACCATACTGAGGTACCACCCTCCACCTACCAAAAAATTAAGGTCTTGCTCTATATAGGTGGTTGCACTCGAAGTGTTTCGGGGATCTAGTGGGCAGTTCATAACAAGAGCTGCGCACAAGTTGGTTGGCACTGGACCCCAAAGTAATTTTCAGGGTCAGCTCGATGCACCTCAAAATCTTCCAAGCTACCATCGAGGGGGCTCTGCAGAGTCCCCCACCCACATAGTAATTTCCAGCCGGTTAGCTGGATGACTGCTGAGGGTAGGGGCCTATCGAATTTTTCTCGGAAATGCAATGGATTGGTGCAATCTTCTGAACTCCAGGCACAGGCAAGAACTATAAAAATCTTGAGAGTAGGAGTTCAACATTCCAAAGTATTGGACTCAAAATCAATTTGGAATAATCTCAAAGTATTTTGGGTCGCCAAAGTATAATATCAATGTCGGACCCCACCACCACTCGTAAAGTCCAAAGTATTTCTAGAACATGATTGCTGGTGAGTATAAATACTTATGGCCTGCTATATCCACAGGATCCCTGTTGGTTGATCTCCTTCAACCACAGGAACAAAAACAAATGACAAATGCGTGCCAAAACATCCATAAACAAGTATCAAGTTGGGCTGACTCGCCCTTTGGTCGTCCCATCTACCTGTTATGCATGTGCCTTCATGATACTTGGATGATCCTTTCAGTCAATTTCTGCACTCTTTGCCTGCTGGGGAAAGCAGCCGCCTTGGCCTAAGGGTAACATGAGGAGCCGCAAAGTTAGTGCCCTCCTGGGTTTCAAAGAGAGCTGCTCAGTTTCTGGGTGACTTTATCGGCATTCAACCCGGGCACGCAACCCAGTGCAGCAATCAAATTAATGGTCGGGCGGTGATGTTCCATCAGAAAACTCAGCTGTATGGTGGAAGATCATGTTGTCCAGCGTTGTGTTGAAATTTGCGACCAATGGTTGTTGGTTTTGACAATGAAAGTCAGGCTTTCTGGGCACTATTCAGAAATCTGAGCCTTGAACGAAAACTTCAGCATGCCAGTCTTCCAGAATGATGCCAAGGCTAACGTGGATGCGCTAGTCTTAACAAACGAGTCAGCCGCAGCGGATGTTGGTGCCTGTATCGTTACGCTGTCGCTACTGAACCCCTTGGTTGCTGTCATGTGCTAGAAGAATCGTCAGGCATCCTTCCCACGAGGTGCAGGACCGTCGAAAAAGTGTATATACTCTACTTGTTTGGCCGTCTTCACGCTGTCCTCTTAAAGGTACTGCTTTTCTCAAGTACAAACCAAACAAGCGTGGTTCATCACTAAAGAGAAAACACCCAGAACCCGCCTCACCCTGTTTTCTCGAATGGTTGCCAGAATTGACCTGCCTTCTCAGCAAAGGTCTCGAACAGATGTCGAGGTGCATGAGCCCCTCTGTGGGATCTTGCTCGTACCTCGCACCATCGGCCGAATGCTCTCGGACTGGGTGTGGAGTTCTGCACTCCCCTCACCCCCCACTACAACCAGACGAGCCATTACTTTTCTCTCCTCTCCAGCTTTTAGAGTGCTTTAGCTGCCGTCTCGAACAGCTTCACACAGCCTGCTTTCTCACACATGTGATGGCTGGCGGTATCCGGATTCGGCGGTTCGTGGGCAAACTTAAAGTCTTTGGAGTTCCTGTATTCAAATCCACATCCTGTGGAAAAGGCATCTTTCACAGCATGAAAGGTCATACTGTTGGAACTCAACAAAAACCTGGGAAGAAATTTCCTAGACAGCTCCTCAGTCCATTTCTCGTTCATCGACAGGGACTTTGTTCGCAGGTCCTCAAGGATTTGCTCGATCTCTTCTTGTGTCTGTTTGGCGCTCTGCAGGATCTGAGTGCTCTGAGTCTGAAGAGCGTTTTCGATTGCCCTCACCATTTTCCTCGACTTGGGGTGATCAGCTGGCATCTCTAAGGCCTTGGCAGAGTGAGTCATGAGCTCTCCCACCGACATTGACGTGGCTAACCACCGATCTGCGTTTTCCAGAGGGACCTCGCGCAAGTACCTCAAAATGGCATCACTCCCCCACCTGCAGAAGAGCTGGATCTTGTCGACGCCCTTGCGCGCCATGAACTGCGCACCCATCGGTCGGAGCATGTGCCCCGTGACATTCTGCGCCTCCTCCTCCGTGAGCCCCAGCAACACTGACTGCCACCCTGCGAAAGGCCTTCACCATGCCCTGCTTGGTAGGTTTGTCGGTGACCAGCAAGGGATCGTCATCTTGGTGGCCGTTCTCTACTGCGGCCTGCATCAATCTCTTCGCTGCGGCGACAGGGCAAAGGCTGGGCATGGTCTCACAAAGGCATCCCTGTTTCCTGAGAACCCCTTCACCCTTGGAGTCTGTCTTTGAGGCAGGCAGGTACAAGGACACTACTCCGCATCCCACACCGGTTTCTTCCACCTGCACACGCTTCAACTTTCTCAAGGCGGCCTCCATTTCCCTGCACGCAAAGAGGGTGAAGAGGATCACCGTGTCGACCGTTCTTCGTGGTCCATCATCCACGGGCTCCACCTCCTTCATGCCTTCCAACTGCCTCAAGTCCAAGGCAGGGCATTGCTTGTCGGCCCCGATGCCCCAGATACACGACCGGATCGCGTCTTTGATGGCCGAAGCCTGTAGCACATGTTCCCTTTTCAGGGCTGCAAAGTACATAGCTGCTGAGCTCAGCACCTGCCATGTCAATGGTTTGAACCGCCAACGGAAAGGGTTCCACGTCCAAGCTCTTGGCCCTGTGAAGCCACCATTGCACCCTAGCTTTACGCGTGGCCTGATTTGAAGCCGCAAACTTGTCATTCTGGAAATTGTCGGGGCCCTCTGCGACTTCTTGGGCTTTGGCCCTGTTGCCTGCGGCATAGGGCTTTACTGCCGGTTCAGTCTTCCTGAAGGGTGTGCCTGGAGCAGGCATCGCTGGCGTCGATCCACCACTTCCTCCATCGATGGCTTGTCCTCCTCTTTCTTCTGCTCGTTGATGTCCTTGGGCACGAACAGAGGGAGACCCCCTCTCATGAGGGCTTGCACGTTGTCTTCACTGTATAGTTTTGGCAGCTTGCCAGGGGGTTCCTCACGACGGCCTCATCTGCCGAGCCTTCCGACTCTTCCTGCACCTCTTGATGCACCACCTGCCGAGAAGCATCTGACTCCCTACCCGTGTCCACGGGTGGGAGGGTACGGGACAACGATGATCCCCATAACATCCCGAGTGATATGGGCATCTGACAACTCATAGCTGCCCTGACCTCCACCTGCTGCCCGGTGATGCAGGTGACATGGTTCACAAGGCTTCGGCTCAATGCGGCGCCCCGCTCCGACCTGTCTCGGTCTCCTGAGCTCATGGGCTGCAATTGCAGGCCCGGCCACTTGGCCTCGGCGGCCTCCCGAGGAATGACTGGTGTGAGCCTTTTCATGTATAAATGGCTAGCAAAAGAATACATGCCTGAAATCGAACGATGTCGGACGAACAAGTCAAAGCAAAGAAACAGCACTGACAGTCACTCACACTTGCAAATCTCAAAACAAAGCAATCGAACGCAACGCGACGCTCCCCCTCCCAGGTATCTCCCTGGCGCACTCGCACTGCCTGTCTCGGCTGGGCGATAGCCTCGCGCACGGGCGACAATTTCACACGCTGATCACATGATACGAGCGATGAACCTCGGCTGCATGGTTTCACCCTTCAACCCGGTCTCCCTTCTCGGTCGGCCACACTGGGGCTCCACCCTTGGCAGGTGGGAAAGTTCTCCAGGCGTCTGGCCCCGGAAAGAGCATCAGCCCATTCATTCTGCTCGCTCCACAGGTGCAGCGCTTCGATCGAAGCGAAGTGGACAGCTAAGTGAAGCGCCGCCTCTTTTGTCACTTCGTTGAGCAGCGGCGACTTGGCTGCTCGCTTCACCAGCGCAGCCAGGACACCTTGCGCGTCTCCACGGACTCTGATGTAGCCCTGGCCATTCGTCGTCACCCGGGCCCAAAGGCGTCTCAACATCATGTAGGCCTCCCACAAAGCCTGCGACCCAGGTTCACCTATGGTGGCCCCTGTCTTTTGTTCGTCTGCGGACTCCCAAGTCAATGCAAACACTTCAACAGGTCGACCAGCTTTCAACCTCACAGCACCGCCGCCCCAAGGTGAAGCGTCCAGCAAGAAGTCAAGTCTACATTGATGTCGATGTAAGCAAACACTGTTCGTTCCAAGCCTTCAGGCCCCCAGCTCCACAAGAAACGCCTGATCCAGTGAAGAGCAGGTTCGATCTGCTTGAAGTAGATTTGCCCTTGACCCTGTAACTTGCTGGGGTTGGTAGCCAAAGCGGCATACAACATTCGAACGAAGGGCTTGAGCTGCGGAATGAATCCCGCCGCCCAAGACATTTTGCCAGTGAACTGCTGCAGTGGCTTTCGCCCCACTAGAGGCTGAGTGTTCAGCCTCTCGAGGAGTACTCTCCACTCCTCCAGCTTTGCAGTGGTCACCATGACCTTGACGTAAACAGACCTTTTGTGTAATTCAACGTTCAAGCAACTCAAGTCGGCCATCAAGAAGAAGAAGGTTCGATGGTTGCGTACAGCTCCTCCTTGCAAGACATTTTCACGGGCAAGAAGGAGAGACAAGTTTGCAAAGGCCAGACAGCTCAGATCCGTACAGCAACCTGCAGGACTTGAACCCAAATCCTGGAGGGGTAAAGGAGGCCAATCTTCTGGCTTCAAGAGCGGCGCAGTTGTCCTTGCTGCAGTGGACCCCCCAATGCACAACTCGTTTTCCTGCTCAACCTGTGCCTTCTTTGAGAAGAGGTCCATCACTTTGGCATCCTCTTTGAACACAAGCTTCCAACTGTCTGGTCGTTGCTTCGACTCCTCCAGCGCCTTGGCATACGCCTTGGCCAGCTCTATGCACAAGCCCTGAGGGTACTCGGCAGCCAGCGCAGTCTTGAAGACCTTGTTGCCATGAAAGTTTAGGGCGAAGCCAGCCAGGGGTTCGTGGTGATGTGCAGGTCTCCCGGACACCTCCGTTCCAACACTTTCATGAAGCTTGCATGGCTGAGCCAACCTGTTGGTTTGACATACTCTCCCATGTAGACACATTGGTCGCCCTTGTTGAGTCTCACGCCCTCTAGCTGCAGTAGTCGTTTCACTGGTCCGTACATCCAGATGTAGGAGTTCTCTGGATTCTCCATAGAAAACCATCCGCCCGCTTTCCAGTTGGTTACATTGGTTGGAGAGTTCTACAATCGTGCATTGGGCAGTTGAAAGAGCTCAGCAATCCTACAAGGTGGATAGGCAGTGAGCGGGGCGAACTGCCGGAACACGAGTTGGCGTGACTCAGAGCTAGAGTGGGCAGTGTTTACGGTTGCGCAAACCCTGAGCGTGGGCTCTGGGGAGCATTGCTGGAAAGGCTGGTGCACTTGAGCGGCGGCCCACATAGTGAGGCTGGGAGTTGGCCCGAGAAGGGCACGCCACTGGGAATCGTCAATGACATCCCGGAAGGGGGAGTTTTCCCCAAGGTGGAGGCGGATGACCACTGGCAGGAAGGAGACAAGGAGGACTCGCTTGCTGAGTAGGGACAGAAGCTGAATGGATAGGGGCCAAGCATTGTTCACTTTCTTCTTGGGTTGAGGTTTCATCCAACTCTGATCATCTGAAGAGCTTGGGCCTGGAGGCCTTGCTGGCACCGACTTGGCCGAGTTCATCACGTATAACATTGCTGGCTTCTCAAACTCCCTCGACCAAAACTCTGATTGTGAGGCACTGGCACGGATCACTGAGTTCCAAGGCTGCTCAGGAACATAAGCCGACAATGCTGGATGGGTGGAGTGGAAAGCTTCCTGTTTCCTCTTCTCCTGCGACCAAAACTCGGTCCTGCGTCTAATGTCAGCTTGCGCCGCCAAGTGCCATACATCCGGACGCTGAAGCACACGCGTCCTGAACTCGGAGGCGTACCTGTCGAGAGATGCAGCTGTGGCCAACTGTAACATGAGAGCCACGGTGCGGAAGACCCTCCATGATTCTTCCCAAGCGTCCAGGTTAGCGGCCCCAGGCAGTTCCACCGCCTTCCACTGCCCATCTCGCCATTGCTGTGAGATGAACCGCATGGCCCTGGCAATCCGATCTCCGTGTGGCCCCCAGACTCCCATATCTACGAAGGCTGGCCAGATTGCAGCTTGTGGTACAAACTACTCAACTGCCCATCAGTCACCTCCTCCTTCTCCAATGGGTTGTCACCTTCTGTAACCACAAACTGTGCCCTCATCTTCTGGAGCTGGGTGTTCGTCAACATCTCAACTTCGAAGTCCACACCCTGATCAATGATCTGGCTCATCTTCAACTGGAGCTTCGTCCCACCTGAACCCGGTAGCAACTCCTCCGCTAGCGGGTGTCTCCGGTTTGTGGGCAACTGAAGCTGCAAACAATGATGGTGCACCAAACTTAACCCTGATTGCGCTCAACACCAAACGCCATTGAGCCTTCTCTGTCTCAAACAGCCGTCGATCCCCTCTGCTTGCATTGCTTAGCGCTGTCTCGAAAACCTCGAGGGGAATCACTGCCAGAACTGGTAAGGCCGACAGTTCTGGATCTCCGAGCTGCCTGGTGACTGTCCTCACCAGTCCCGCCTCCAGACCACCCCACGTCGCCGCGTCCTTCAGGTCCGTCCACGCGTCCAACGTGGCCCGGTCGGGAAGGAGTCCGTCCATGGCCCGAAACTCACCCCCCACCTATCTTCGATGGGGGGGTCCCGGGTCCCAAGATGGCCTTGAGCCAAAATGGTACTTGAGCCAAAATGGTACCCGATCAAATTCTGAACCCTCCCAAACCACCCTGGAAGTTACCCGCCACTTATTGTTACTTCGGCCATCCTGGCCTTCCCTGCAATATATATTATGGCCTCTACCTTCACATCCCTTTGGAAGTTCCTAAATCTCAGACGCCGCTGTCGAATTGTTTTTTGAGGTTCTACAAGAACTTTGTTTGTGTGCATGTTTTGCTGCAGTAACTGGTTATCTTGATATTCCAATGGATGTTGGAACTGTATGACCCTATGACCCAGGCCTAACTTTTCATCTTGGAACTTTGTTCCTACAATCGTTCACTGCTTTCCACTCCAAGTGTTGACTGATGCCAAGTTTCCAGGTTGAAGGGTTCCAGATCGTTCCTTTAGCGCGGGAACCAGGACGGGGCCGCTATGGGAGGCGGTCCAAAAACAAAGCCTCAACTACTCTGCTGTTGATACATCCAAGTGCTTTCACACTCTCTCTGCCCTCTCCTCACCTGTAGTCCCAGTCAATGTGCTCTTGTTGCTCTGCCATTAGCACTGCAACAGCGGCTCCCGCTCATTTTATGCTGCATCCTCCACTTTCTCTTCCTCGTTCTCTTCTCCTTCTCCTTCTCCTTCTGGCCTCCTCCTCCTGGCCTCCTCCTCCTGGCCTCCTCCTCCTCCTCCTCCCCTCCTCCTCCTCCTCCTCCTCCTCCGCGTCATTTGTCTTACATCTTGCGGTGGTGGGGACCAATGTCGTAAAAGCCTCTTGATACACTATCCCATGATCAGGTTTAGTTCCACATCAATGTAATTACAACAAAGCCTGAGCCCACAGCAGGCACCCACAAAGCCAACTGGCATGGCTTGCATAGGAGGCCTGAACGATTTACAGTTTGCATCTGTCTGGTCGATTTCTTTGAAGATAAAGGAACACTCTACCACATGCATTGCCAGTGATGTAGATTGGTCTGGTTTCATTCTCGAGCTTCCCATCCCTTAAGGCTGGGACCTGGCAGGCACGGGGCAGTATGCCTCGCCATACACTCAATGAATTGATGCAGCAACATGCTATTTAAATCTATTTCAAAAGCACAGCAGCAGTAGAAGTAACAACAACAACAACAACAGCTGGGGTGATTGCGGGAGATCTCACAAATAATAGTCAGGGGAAAATTGTTGATTGTTGGGAGTCTGGTTCTCCGTTGTGCAACGTTTTGGTGTCTTTTCAACTATGACAGCAAGAATCATGGTGAAAGTTGATCCTTTCAAGCGCAAAGGATGAAGAGAACGTATGCTGTGAATGGGACTTCCCACCTGCATCGTCATTGCTGGAACACCTTGTGCATCAACCGACAAATTGTGCATTACTGATGCTCTTGGGCAATGCACGGAAAGAATGCAGAATGCACTCTGTTGGGCAGCACTCCTGACATCCTTTGGCAATGGTATGGTATGTTCGGAAATCATGATAAGATTTACAGTAGAAACAAGTTACAGCAGAAGCAAATTGCTGTGTCAGCAAGGACTGCTTTGAACAAACGTGGCCTTGGTATCCGTATCCGTGAGGCCATGCAGGCCTAGAATCAGCTGTTGAGATCTCGCTGTCTCTATCACTCACTCACTCACTCACTCACTCACTCACTCACTCACTCTCTCTGTTCTGAGTTCGTTGTCAATTTGAAATGAGGTTCGGCCAAGGGCAATTCTTGATTTGATCTCTTTTGGGGGTTGTTGTTAAACACCCAAAGTTCAGACAGGGACACTTGAATGGAAAAGCTTTGACAAGTCCAAACAAACCCAAGAATGAACAAGCTTTTTGCAGAATCTGAATCATCCAGCCAGGCCACTGAGAAGCGAATCCCCAAGTTGCATTCGGCTGACCTGAAGCTAGTAGCAAGGGCATCGCTACTAGTAACAAAGGGCATCGCTACTAGGAGCAGAAGCTACTAGTAGTTCCTGGCATCACTACTAGGAACAAGAAGCTACAGTAACAAAGCTGATCTTTATCAGCTGTCTGCAACATGGGTTTAGCACGACATCTGTCGCTTGTTTCTCTTGGCACTACCGAAATCCATCGATTTCCTACAAAGTTCTTTTGTCTTTGGCATATGCCTTTAACTCGATGTCCTAAAGTTAAGATCTTCTGTGCGTGTGAAAGGTGTGGCTTCTGTGCCACAATCGAATTTCACGTCTCTAAACATTGCCAGGGACGCCTGTTGGGAATGCACAGAGCAGCCACGAGGCATTTTGTCTGTGTCTTGAAACTGCGCTCCGAGCACAAGCTTTCCTAGGCTTCCAAAGCGGCTTCTGGTATTCTGTACAATGAGCATCAATAAGCTTCTCATAGCTTCTCAGTCAAACTCATCGGTGATCAATGTCCATCAATCGTCGTCTGGCTCTGGAAGAACTAGATCCAAGAATCCTGAGCGACCGTTGTCGCGAACGCTCTCTGTTCCGCAACAGGAAAACACACAGGCGGTTTAGCCTAGCATAGTCACTCCAAACTTTAAATCCGTTGTTGTAGAAGAAAACAAGCACTCTTCGAAGCAAGGTTCTTTTGAACCACTTCCTGCGCTGCTTGTCTCCGGTGCGTGAGGTTCGCAGCTCTTCTAGCGTGTCCAGCGTACCACCTGCCACGGTCCAACGTTCTTCCACACTTGCCGCAAGCACCTGGAAGGGTCAAGGGGCCCAAGCTCCAAAATGGTCTCTTGTTTTTGACCTAATTGATATGTGGCTCGAGTGAAAATTCAACTGACATTGCTAAATGGGTGTGAGATGGTCTGCAAAGAATGTAGAATTCAAAAGTGTTCACAACATCAAAACATACGAACAATTGGCAAAGTCTTCTGCGATCATTCAAGCAACTCAGAGATCAGCATTCTTTTGGTGCTAGGGATAGACTGCGCAACATATAGTTCTTTTTCAGTCACCACGTTTGTGACCCCGCCTCGGCGACCGTTGCTTGAGAAGGCTCAAGCGCGCGAGCTTCCAGCAAAATGTCCAGCATTCCAGGGGGCAGAATCGTAAATCCTTCTCGCGTGAACGATGCGTCTTGAAACTTAGATGCTCAAGGCTCAAAACCTTTAACAGTTTATCCCCTGCTCTTCAGTTACTCTTCAGCCCCGTCAAACGAAACATCAACGAAGAATACAAACAATTCAGCGAAAGCTCGACAACATTGAGATTGTCCCGTTCGTCCTTGAAAAGAGCCTTCAAAGCTCGTTTCTGGCGCCTCCAAAACCTTGTACATGTAGTTGTTTCCTTGTGGACCACCCCAGTACACTGGCTTCTTCTCCTCAGATTCGCCTATTTGAGGGCCGTTCAACACAGCCAACAGTGCGGGCCCCTGCGAATCTCTCTCCTTTTCGATTTTGATGACCAGCAGCACGGCCTTGTGCAAATACTGAGAAGGCCAAAACCTCCTCAAGTCAAACCTTTCGTCCTCAAAAGGCTTACCTAACAACCAAGCAGAAGCGGAACCCCTCAGAACTGTTCCTTCTGGGGCCTCTTCTTTTTCTCCTGTGAGAGACTTCAGTGCTCTTTCAACTACTTCTTCAGGTTCTGCACGCTCTGTGCTGTACCTTCTGGGTATGAGACATCGATTGATCCACCTCCGTAGCATATCATCTGAGTGCTCGTTCTCACCGCTTTCCTGAACAGGTTGCTCACAATAGACTTTGCTTGAAACCACTCTTTTAGCTGAAACTTGTGCCTCCAGTGGGAGCTAAACATTGTGTCCAATAAGTGGATGAGGTGAACGAATTCTGTGGCAGCTGCTATATAGCTTAGTATGCAAGGGAAGGTGAAGTAGCTGAAGGCTACCTGGAGTTGGAGAAAGCAGCACACACCTCCATAAAGGATTTGTGCCAGCCTTTCCTGGCAGTCTGTAAAGAGAAACAAAGCTCAGGCCCTGTCAAGGTAAGGCTCAAAAAGGTGGGACAACATTTGACAAACCATCAGAGGTCAGTTGATATGAAAACGAGGTGGAAGTATAACTTGATCAACGAGTTTAGGCGCATATGGATTAGAAACAATAGTCAGAGACCAAGCACCCCATGAGAAACGAGGCCGAATGAAATACAGTACATGTTTCAAGGAAATGTATGTTTTCTGTTTCATCTGGGGAGGCGAAGTCAGTAAGAAGCAGAAGTAGCTAGGAAGCAGAAGGGCCGAGCTTGCATGGAGAGGAAACCTATCCATCGCCGAAGCCTTTCGAGTGCCACAACACAATGATAGCCTATGAGTTGCATGCTGCTGCTAGAATGAGTGGTATCTACTGAATCCAGCTTTGCTTTGAAGAAGCGAATCATGGGAGTCTGAAACCTTCGCCATGGCATCGGAAAACATGTTTTTTGTCCTCACTACCAACCCTCAACTTTTGTTACTCAGGATGCTGCACAACATCTTCAGCATCCCAAGCCTGCCCAAATTTGCATTTTCAACCTGCCCCCACGACTGAAAGTCCAAAGGCAGCCATATTTACCGTCAAGTTCCCCCCTGCTCACTGCGTTCGCAGAACAAAACTCCAACCCAGCCTCCCGTCTGGCTTTCGAAAAAGACAACAAAAAGTTGCCGAGTCAAGCTGATAGAACGAGACAGAAGGTGAAACAAAATGCCTGGAAATCAACAGTTCAAAACCAAACAAGCGAGATACATAACCTAGCAAACAAGCCCGATATGGCACTTTATATAAATGATGCCTTAGCTGAGGATCCAGCTAGGGATATGTTTTGGGCGTAGAAGAACGTGAACAGCAATCTCTGCAGAACATGAAAGACTAAACCCGTTCGGAGTTAAACCTGAGTACTTTGTGGTTTCGAAGACCTGCCTTGAACTTGTCCACAATCTTCTCGTACTTTGGGCCAAGGGCCCTAAACAACCTTTCCCACATCTCCAGTCCATCACCGACATCATCTGCAGTGAACACGTCGTCCTGCCCTGCCTTTGCGATCCTTTTCCGCAAGTCTGCCTCTCAGGGTTGGTATATTAATGTTCTTTCCAAAAGAGAACAAAAGGTCTAAAGAAAACACAAGAAGAAAAGTAATTCTAGAACTTTTTGTTCTGTCCCTGTGCCGATGCCCTGATGCCCCCGATGCCCCTGCTGCCTGTTCCTCTCTGAGCTGACCCAAAAGCAGTGATGGATCAATGGATGCCATGGTCCATGTATCTTGACGATCCAATTCGCTTTGTAATTGCCCGTCCGCCCAGCCGCAGTAACCAACAAGAAGCAGGAAGTCATCTTTGTCTGCTCTGCCAGAGGCTACCAATTCCTTTGCATCATCCAGGTTGATAGAATAGACACCCTTAGTGATGGTCTCACCGTATTTTTCCAGGCGTTCCAAGCCATGAAGCACAGAGTATTCGACCGGTGCTGGACCACGACGATCGTTGATTCCCTGACAGTCACCTCCACACCAAACATTCCAGTCATCAACACCCTGGTGTGAAAAGTTTTGCAAATTCAGCGTTGACTCCAAATCAGTGGTGCTGAAGGCTGTTGGCCGGTTCAGTATCACACCTTTCGTGAAGCCTTCGTATCCGGAGCCATGTTGAACGAGAAAAATCACATTCTTGTGAAAATATTGCTGATTGATGCAAAAGTGATCATTGGGCGATGAGAGAAGTATGGAGCCTTGTTCAATGATGGGCGACTCATATGCCCACTTTTCAGCCTTCTTTAGAGAGATCTTGTTTATGCCAGTACTGCCGGCTTCTTCTGTTTCTTTTGCCTCTTGCTGGACCAATCGAGCTCGAAACTCGCGCCAGTCCTGGCTTTCTGTTTCCTTTTCATCTGATGGAAGGTCCTGGCTGCCATCTGCTTCATCCGCCCGCCGCGAGATGTGATGTCCCTTGCGGAGGGAACGGGGGGACCCGATCCACAGCCACTTGGGAAGGACAAAGAGCACCAGGCAGAAAATCAAGGAACCATGGCGAGAAGCCATCGCTTTCAAGGAGTGGGAGCAACGTGTGTAACGTCGAATTGGCTTGCATCAAGCAGTCTAAGAGTTGCTGAAAAACTCTCCAAATCTTTGCAGTGTGATCAATGGGCACTTTGCACATCTCTGTGTATCTCTGCCTACTGCGGCTTTTTTTGCAGCTCACCGGTTCAAGGTGCATTTCGAGTCACGAGCCAAGCAAGATGACAAAGGAGCCACTTAGCAACAACCGCAGGACAGCTTTGCGACTGAGAGCTGTCTGTAAGCATGCTATGCCTCCGACCCTGAACATACCAGCCACTCTCACCTGGGGGAATTCTAGACAGTGTGCAAGAGTCTAATCAACAGAGCTCAGAACTGCTTCATTGAATGCAAGGGATACAGCAACTTTTTTGTGAAATGATGTGAAATGAGTCTTCTTGGTCTTCGCCTGATGTGAGACCACCTGCACTCATTGCCACAGTGCGGCTGCCACCTGCCTGCATCGCAACAAAATGGTTTACACAAAGGAAAAAGTGACTTTGGTTGCTACAGTGTCACGTGTGCTGCTTCGTGGATCGCCTTTCGGTCATTGTGAGCCTTCAACTATGCTTTGGGGCTCCAGCAGCCTCGCCCTCTCATCCCTCTCTATCACCCCGCAAAAAGTTATGGATGAAAATGTCCACCAGTACCCTTGTGCACGCCCAACTGCCCAACTGGGGTCAACACACAGCACTGCACTCCTGAGTCAAAGTACGGTCCAAGAAACCAACGCAACGGCTGGTGCGGAGGCCACATACTAAGTTATTACAGTACCTCAATGCTTCTTCAGGAGCATGCGACGTCAACCTCTTGACGGCGCACTCCTTGCACACTATGAGGTTCCGCCAACTTGGCAACAACGGCCTCAGCTAGTAAGTTTTCCTGAAAATCTAGGAACCAAAAGAATAGTGCTTGAGCTATCCTGCGTCGAGTAGCTAGGAGTGTCCATGTAGCTAGGAGCTTGCTCCCTTACTTAATTGAGTAAACACCTGCTAATTAAGTAAGGAGGCAGGGCCACGGGCAAAAAAGAAGAACTCGAATCTCTGGCATCTCTCTGAGCTAAGCTTGGAGGTCGAGAGCCGAACCTCGGAATTCTTTGCAGGGAGACTTGCAGAATTCAGCGCGGCTGAGATAGAGGGCTTTTTGGCCTTGGAGGAGCTGAAAGGATCTGAAGGGCCGAAAGTGAGTTGAGCACTGCACTTTCTTGTGGGCTTTCTCTGGAAAGGGACTTCTGGCTGGGGTGCTTCTTCGAAGACGTCTTCGAAGACTTCTCCAAGCACATCAGAAAACTACTACTGTTTCGTCTTATTCTGCAACTGATACTGTATTTGTCAAGACTGCCAAGACTGCTGGCGACAAAAATGCGTGCAGTGTCTGAAGCTGTGAGACTTCGCCTCAAGATCTCGGCGATAGCTGTAGTCATGAAACCTCTGCAGATTGCGGTTGCGAAACGACACAATTGAACGTGGGGAGAACAAAGCCATCACTCTACAAACTGAAGTTGCAGATCTCTATCATGGCACTGAGAGCCCATCGCTGCCAGAGATGTTCGATCGCCTGTCACCTTTCCACCCAAGAAAGCTACAAACTACTTTCGCCTGCCCAGGCAGCCATGAACCGATTTCAAGTCATCATATTGTAACCTTTTCTCGTGCATGAAGAACCTGGGGCACCTTGTGTCTCTCCTTGTGGATGACAAATTTCTCATCTATTCCGCTGAAGTCATCAAAGTTGGAGGTATCCAAGGGCCCTTTGACCTGAGACAATCCAATCGGGTTGGAGGCCATCGCTCTTGGGGTTGGAGGCCATCACTCTTAGGTTGGGTTGGAGGCCATCGCTTCTAGTTTGAGGCTCTTGCAGTTGGCTTGATTGGCGGAGACATTTTTCGGAGCTTCTTGAAGTCCAACCCCTGGCAACAAACAAAGGCTGACTCAAGGCAAACGCCTTTGTGGACTTTTTGTATATATATATATGGAAAGAAGAGCATTCTGCCGACTGTTCAAACAATTATATAAGCAAATGAACCGTGGAACTGATACATAAGGTATAGTGTGTAAAGCTGGACGCTGACACGAAAGAAGGGATGTCCACGGATCTGATCTGCCGTGAGCCGTTCCTGCCACAGCACAATGCCAATGCTGTGGTTTGCTCGTTAAGGGGTTAGGTGAATCTAAGAGTTCTCAACTGTCTGCATGGACTGCACCTCTGGGTCACAAATAAGCCCTCTGAGCAAATTGCGTGCCTGGCATCAAAAGAGAGCTCTGGTCTGATGGGCAGAACGAGTGATCCAACTACGCAGGGCAGGGTTGCAGGCAAGAAGGGTTCAAAAATCATGAACAATAGAGTTCAATGTGGTAATTGAATTGCGGTAAGAGCCTCCTCTCCAACATTGGGATCTGGTGGCATCTTGAACCACCTCCGCCAATCCATCACCCGTCGAGAGGTCACCTTGGACGTGGTTGGCGAAGCATCATGCTGCAGTTGTAGCAATCCTCTCTCCCATGCTCTTGCGTCCGAAATGGATTCAAGCATCACACTCAAAGGAAAGAAGCAGCAAAGAATCACCCAACAACTCCAGAAGCCTTTATAGCTTATAAGTAGCCCCACCATCTTTGCCAACACAGCCAGAAACCTAAACGACCCAACAATCCCAACTAACCCGACAAACAGCAGTAACAACAGCAAACATAACTTGGTACCAAACAAAACTTGAGCCACGCCAAGGGTAGCACTGATGGATCGTGCCGTTCATCGCTGAATGGAGGACCACCAAATAGCATCTCAGCATCGCATAGCTGCAGCACTGATCAAAACCAGCATTAACTGTGCACCGTGAGGTGGTGCAGGGCTGTCTACCCCAACTCCGCAAAACACAGCATCATCTGGAACAATCGTCTGGTGCATGCCAAAATGATCAAGAAACCACACACTTAGATATGTGTGTCTGCGGGCAGCCTCGAACATGATGATTCCCAGGGACCACATGTCGCACTCCTTTCCGTATGGAGCTTTTCTGTAGACCTCTCAACTGAGTCAGTCCAGGGATTGCTGCGCCCGATGAAATCCATGATCACCATGAACGGAAAAGGTCAGTCCCCCGCCTCCGGACCCATGTAGTCAGGCCTGGCCACATCGCTAGTAATAACAGGCACCTTGCTACTACAGTAGTAGCTCAGAAACGATTGGAAAAACAAACCTCTGTAGAGGCTGCAAACTTGCCAGCAGCTCGTACCAACCTGGGAACAATGGCAACAAAGTCACTGGTCACAGTGTCCCACTCATTGGTCTTGCATCAAGCATCTTAGGGCAAGACTACAGATTGCATCTTCTCTCGAGGAGGATGTCTTGCACGAAAGTTAGAAGGACCTAGCCAGGGTTCAAGTGCATCAGGCAAAATCGAAGAAGCTCCTTACAGCCAATGAGCAGCAATGGTTTTGCAATCTTCCTATATAGTGGACAATTGTGCCGGGCAAACCACTGGGAGGATCTGGCTGCTTTTCAGAGTCGCCGCTCTCCGCTGGCTCCGGTTGCTGGTACTTGCAAAGGCCAAAGTCCTTAGCGGAGAAGAGTCCTCAAGACGGACTCACCAACAGATTACACTCACATTGAGTCTTAGACCAGCAGGTGAATATGGCCTGGCAATTGAAGAAATACTCCGAAGGATACGGACCATGTGAGAATCTGTACGTAAGGTTGGAACAGTACAATGAGAAGACAGCCCCACCATCAATGTCAAAGACAATATTGTCAGGCTTTATGTCTCGATGAATGTAGTGCAAGTTCGTGTGGATGTAGTCAATAGCCTGGTCACTAGCTCACCGGCTCCCAAGGGGATATGCGTTGATGGCAAGTGTACAGGTGCTCAACATTTGCAACCTCTACAAGCTCCGCGATATAGAAGCGGGTCTCCTCCTCAGTGAAGGTGTCCTGTTTCAAACAATGAAAGGGAGAATGATAACAAAACCCTGCTAGAACACGCTGCCCTGTCGCAGGTAGACCTTTCTTGTCCCAATTTGAGATGGAAGGAGTCTAGCGCATGTCACAATACAAGCAAATCAGCTGCACTCAATTGAAAATTCCTAAGCTTTGTCCAAAGTTCAACAAGCAGTGTATCACAAGACTCCGGGACCTAAATTGTTTGTCAATCAACAACAAGTTCATAGATCCTTCCGCATGAGGTGCGTCATGAGGTCACCGCCAGGCAAGTAACTGCAAAGTGTGCAACTCACTTTCTCCGCTTTCAAGAGTGCAGTTGGGAGACATCCTACAGGTTTTGGTTGCGATTCGCATACTGCAGTGGGCTTGTGAAAACCTACAGGGCACTCCATGACCATGTAAAGATACTGGTCATCCTGGAAGGTGTAGTGCAATCCGATAATCCAGTCATCCTGTGCAAGCATGTTGTGAATCAATGCTTGAGGAAGTGACTGTATAGAAGAAGGAACCATGCCTAAATAAAGCCATCAGTGGGAGTCCTTGGCTACGCTGAGTGCATCCTTCTCGGCATTCACATGATGAACCTGAACGGGATCTTCAAGATGCTTGAGTGGGGCCTCAAAAGTCGAAACATCCTGTCCCCACTCTTCAGTCGCATTTCGGCTGGCCTGATTCTTGAAAACCATCTCCTTCTTGCTCATTTGCTTCATGGCACGAATCTCACCAGTTCCCTCACAGTGTGTGGAGTGTGGAGATTCAAGGTTGTAGAAAAATGCTACCTAGTAGCAAGTCTCCACCAAATTATTTTGCTACGGATGGAATTTGAGCATGGGGATGCCGCTTCTCCACCTTGTGACGGCAAAGTCTGACGATTCCAAAGGCGCCAGTGCCTATCACCTCGACAAGAAAACATCAAATTGAATCCAGTGTGGAAGGACTCTGGAGGGCTAAGGCTATAGAGCTCAGGGGTACTCTAAAGTGGGGATAACGGTTGCCATTTCCACAAAATGCTTCGCCTTCAACAGCTCGAAATCGCTGATGGTGATCTCTTTGCGGCTCTCCCTCAAGTAATCATCCTGTTCGTGCACAGCACATTCGAGTTGAGGGTCACCTAACCCCAACAAGCTGTGCAACATAATCGTTCAACTCACACTGCTGTCTGCGGTCTTTTCGAATGTTTGGATACTTGAATGATACTATGACTAAGCTCACCGGCAATCACGGAATCACCAAGTGCCAATTTAAACTCGAGCCGAGCTACAAGGTTCGACGATGTTCAACGCACAAATGTTCAAGACAGTCCTGCTGCGCTGCATAATTCTTCTTGATGACCTCTTTCTGCTCTTCAGGGATGTCCTGGAATCTCTTGGGAAGACAAACATGCAATCCAGTACAGGAAGCGAAACCCTTCCCCCATCGCGCAAAACAGCAAGTGCCCAGGCCATGAACAAACGGCCATGAACAGCAAGAGTGGGGGTTGCTCACACAGCGCAGCGCTCACTTGGTTCCATGCACCTGTGTCTTCAGTTGATCACTGAGCTTTTGCGATTCAGTTCGCCTTTCCTTGGAGCCATTGCGCAAGGCTCAATGAAAGTCAATGAACACGCAACTGCTTCCATTCTTGCATTGCGCAAGGAAATTACATGAGATTATTCTCAATGCTTGGAAATGCCATGTGTTCCTGCTTGACACCACATGTGAAAATGGCACTATAAGCTCCAGTCCCTGTAGTTGTTGAAAGATTTGTCCTGGACTGGTCTGGGCACTTGTCCAACAAAGTGGCATGAAGCACTCACTCGTGTTCTCTATTCCGATCGAACTTCGACGCTGAGACCCTGCCTTTCGGCTCTCCACAGATTTCTTGAAAGCATCCATCAGCCTTCAGAAATACTCTTGACAAAGGATTGAAGGTTGATTAAAAGTCACATAACGTTTCCCTGCACATTGTTCCTGTTGCTCAGCTGGTTGATTCCTTGGGCGTCAGCCTTACGTTGCCTTGCCCAGCCTCACACAGTCAAGATATGGCTATGGTAAACATTGCTTTCCACCTGGCCTGCATCTTGGCGCAGGCTGCCGGTGCAGATAGTGCTTGCGCCTGACCGCAGCTTACTAGTAATGAACAGAACCTCACTGCATCAATTGCATCATCGTTTTGAGGATAGGGCTTGCATCTTTCAGGGTCGCTTCACCACGAAAACCTCGAATGAAACTCTCAAAACAGGATGTAGGAAAATCCAATGGTGGTCTGCCTTCGATTCATACAAGGCCGGTAGAGTTGGATTTATGATATGCGAATCCCATGACTCTTGCTCTGATAGACTTTGTCAAGCCAAATCCTGCAATCTAGATTTCTTCTTGGGTTCTGGCAGTGTCAAAGGCTCGTGGCCGGTCCAACCCCAAGCAACTCGCTGGCAGCCAATCAGCACAATTCGATGAAATTACTGAGCCTGCTGTAGGACACTTTCGTCTGAGAATCATACAAAAGAATCTCACTTGAACAATGTTTAACCTCTCGAGAATTGAAAGTCAAAGTCTCATCGGCATTTTGACTCGCCAGCACTTCGCTAAGGCTTGCAGCACATGCTGAGCCGTGCATTGCTTTGGTTCACATTCGACACTGTTCATTGTCAATGGAAGCCAAGAATTTGTAGGGGATACAAATACCCACTCAAAGTGATTTGAATTATCTACCCGTGTGAGTGTCTAATTAAGAAGGCCTTTGTTTGTAGGTGTCTATGGTTTTGCACTTGCACTTTTGTCGGACTCTTCTGTGCATGGGGCTTACAAGCCACGAGCCTAGTGGAGCATGGGTGTCTACAGGCCTCTCAGCCAATGTTCAGCCGAAACATATCATTGTGACAGTAGTAATTCCTGCAGCAAAAGCATCGGCTTGGCAAACATCATTATTGAAGCGGTTCAATGCATGTGACAGCAAAGCAGCCGCACCCTGTTGGACCTTTGACAAGCTGAAATACTTGAGCAAACCTAGGGTCGGTTGCAAACCGTCTCGTCAAATCCCCGACCACTGCAAATCGAACCAGTAGGGACCTGGAATGTAAAAATAAGGGATGTTTTGAGTGTACTTTGACAAGATTAATCATCATCTATCCTGAGGATAAAGTTGGTCGCGTAGGATTGACACGTTCAACCACTGGTCCAAAGGGGAAGACTGTTATGGTTGAAACCTGTATCATGGAAGGCGTGGAGTTTATCAAGGATGACATGTGACACGTGCGTTTATTCAGTACACGTGAAGGCTCTTTTGCTATGACGGAGGAAAACACCATATATCAAGCACAAAAACCCATGTAAAGGAAGGACAGTCTTGCAATGTATTGCAAGGATTGTCCCTGATATAGAGATTATTCAATCCACCATAGCTTCTTACCAAAATGCAGAACTTCACATATGCTACGAGGTCTTCACTGAGTATAGAGTTCTTAAAGAATGTCCTTCCAAATGTAGGACCCTTACCAAAGATGAACTGTTCATGAAGGATGAGGCCATTCTCAGAAGCAGACTCTTATTAATGAAGCTCTTTTAAAGAAGGCAGGATGATGCGCATAGAAAGATGATACGATAACGGAATCTTTGGTATTTTAATCTTTGGTGTCTGATGCAAAGTCCTGTTGAAAGTGGTGAACCCATAGCTAATATAAGGTTACAGCGAAAAAACTCCTCGAAATGAAATGCCTTGTGAGCTTGAATCGGACGCTCACTACTTTGCGTCTTGAGACTAAAAATAGGCAGTCGGAGGCTGAACCAGTCCAGGAACCACTCGAAAACCATCAGCGCAGCGAAAAGACTGAGGTTTACACTTGAGCGGATTCGCATTGTCATCTACCAATAAGTTTCCAGTGATGAAAATAACTATGCCTCGTCAGGGTCAAAGGTTCTTTAGCACAGGATGCACTTTTCGTGGAAAGAAACCTGAGTTCTAGTTTTGTCAAAGGCAGCGGCCATCGTTCACTGACGGCTGGCAGTCGCATTTAACGATCTGATGCTGCACCTCCAATGATTGAGACTGAATGGGAACTCCAAAACACCTATATACATTACACATCTTTGGAATTAAAGTGTCAGACATCCAAGTGTTCACGTTTGCAAGGCAAACTGCAAGTTGAATGTAAACAATGTAGGACGCTTTAGTTGAAGGCCATTGGTGAGGTGGGACGGACCAAGTAACAGGTTCCGCCTTCTGAAAGGGTAAGGCCATGATCTTCTGAACAATTGCATCTGCACCTGCCATGGATCCAAGCACTCAGAAGCCTTGGACGAGGTATGTTGGGATCAAAGCCTCGCACTGTTTCATGTTAGATTTACTGTTGTCGCCGTGTGCGACGAATTGAGTTTATGAATCCTTTGCATGCAAACCAGAAGCCTTTGCCCACCTTGGAACTGATCCCCTTCGAAGGTCAGCATTGACTGCTGTGAATAAAGCGGGTGCAGACCAGCCCTGCGTTTGGCTCATCTTCTTGGGAAACAGTACATTGGGAAGGTCGGAGAGTCATTTTGGAACACAAGTTTTAGTTCACTTTGGAACACAAAAGATGTGTCACTTTGGAACACAAAACAACCCAAAAACATGGAAGGGTTGACAAAAACCAATTTCTGACAGATCACTTTGGAACACAACACACCAGGTTTTTTAGGTCACTTTAGAACACAAACAAACACGAATGGGGAGGGCTTAAAGATGAAGGATGGGGTGGGGTGGGGGGGGATGGGGTGGGGTGAGGGATGAGTTCCCCAAAGTGGCAGTGAAGTACACTGGACCTGATCGATAACACCAAGTAAGACCCTCTCTCTTGTGGCTAGTGTGCGAGCGGCGGCGAGCACACTTTTCTATGGCACGGGGTGCAGGTATTGGGCTTCAAAGTCTTGAGCCAAATGAGTTAAGCGGCAGCTGACTGAAGAGAACATATGTACAAGTAACTACGGACAACAGGCGCTACACGCGTATAGCGTAGACACGCCTAGGGGAACCTAGGACCCTACAAAACACAAACAAACACAAATTTTCTTCGCGTCGAAGCTTTCGGCTGCAAAAGTACAAAAGAGTGCAAATGAATTACAACAGTTCTGGCATCGCAGAACTTGACCGCAGATGCCATTCTGGCTCTCAACAAAAGCTGTAAGGAGTTTCCAAAATCTATCTAAATCTCATCTGCTACAACTCTCTCTATGTTCAATTGCCGGAAGGTCGACAATTTGGACGTCTTTTACCATCTTCTATTATACCCCCTGTATCCAGTGTCCCAGTTAGGCTGGCGCCGTGAGGAAGAAGAGGCAGAGGATTGCCACCAATCTTGCCGTCTCCACTGGGACCGTTCTTTGTCCTTCTGTTTTCGCTGTTGCGCAGAAGCATCACTTCGGACTCGAACGTTGGATCTTGCAGCGAGCCGGAAGGTACACTGATGCGGGCGATGATAAGCATTGTCGCTGCTCTTTAGGCAAAAATCTCTACGGTTCATATGTTTCAGGTACTCATTGACCTTAATGAGGGCTTATGTTTGACACGGATGTCCTTCGTATCCAAGACGGCCTTTATCATCCGGAATGTCGGATGACCTCTTCCCTAGCGCGCGCATATCTTTGCCATAGTTCAGCGCAATCTGCATAAGGCAGTCGGCATCGGCCGGCTAGCGCTGCAACCTGCTCTATGGCTAAAGTAGAGACCTCCCAATTGTAGGTAATACGTTGGTGAGGTTCACGCGGCCTATTTGCAGAAACTAGGATCTTGTCCAAGATGGTAACGACGGAGCCTGTAGCTGGGTCGTGATGCCCCTCATCGACCTGGCCCCAAATGACTCTAAAAGTTGCTGCGTGCGCAAGCCAACTAAGGCGATCTGAATCAAGTTGAACGCAGCGCAAAAGCTCACGCCTGGACGTAACGTCGTCCGATGAGCATACACAAGCGATCGGATGCGCTGGCCCATGAGGCATGGCAACAAGGCACATCTTATTGCACTGTTGGAAAAGATCGCTGTGTCTCTCCAGGCCTCCTGCTTCAAGGAGAATCGTGACGTGAGCAGTATTGCGAACCAAATAATGTGGCAGAACCGCATACTGGTCGCCTTCCTGGAGACTTCGGGGCAATTAATGCTTCCCATTGAAACGAGGAGGACGGTTAATGTTGCCCAAATTCAACAGCAAAACAGAAACATGCTCGGTCGACCGCAGCAGTTTCACGTCCTCCAAATTAAAGTCGCCTTGGTTAGCACGAAAGCCAGCCATGTGGCTTCGGCAAAGGTCGACTATGCGACGCGTCTCATGGCCGGAATATCGGCGGTTCTAATAATAAAGCAGCTAGGTCGGACAATAGGCTATGGGGCGACCTCACTCTGGTTATTCCAGTGCTCAACGATGGATGGCACCTCTCGCATGGTAAGTTGGATTACTACAGTGATACTTACCCGAGCCTGCTGAAATGATCCGGTCCATGGCTGCAAAGCCAGTGGATCCACCGCCGTTTACCAAAGTCCTCATCTCTCGCAGTCGTCGGCGGCGTGCAGCCATTCTGTCCAGAGGAGTCCATCCTTCAGATTCGGGAGCAAAAGGCGTTACGTTGTAAAACTGATCTCTGCAGTAATGTCCTGCCGTTCCATCTTCGCCCAGTGGTGCCGGAACGTCGGCATCTGGGATCGTTGAGCTCAAAAACAAAGAGTTGCACTCACATTGATTGGCCTTGTCATGGAAGCAGTCCAAGCAGGTACCGTGGCCACAAGCGCGACAGAAGAAAAGAACTTCTTCAAGATTGCAAGTTGCACACAGCATAGTGTCTGGCCGCCTCTGGCGTCGGCGGCGTCCTTCATCGCTTCACGCGCTCGCGATGCGGCTCGCTTTTCGGCCGTGGGTTCAAAACATCTCGTCTCCAGAACGTCGGAGGAAAAGGACACACGGCGTCGACCTGCTGAAGGCGAACGGGCTATAGGTTTCAAGAATCGGTCTGCTTTCTTGGACAGTGCGCGTTGGCGTGCGAGACCGGGCACGAGAGGCCCAAGTTCGGGAACCTGCCTCTTTCTCCTTCTTGGCTGCTTCGGATGACTTAGGCTTCTCACCTGTGGAAGGCGCTGACAAGCTGTCCGGAATGTCGGACTTCTTCTCACCTTTCTTGCCGTCCATCATTTGATCATCTAGCGTATCGATGACTTCTTGATCATCTGCATCGTCGGCCGGAATGTCGGCATCGACGTCCATGGCATCATCGTCTGCCTCATCATCATCGATGTAAAGTTCAGCTACGTCCTCTTCCGTAGTTTCGGAAAGAGTCTTTTTCTTGGTGCGACGGAGATCTGTCTCTTGATCGCGCCATTCATCGTTAACATTGAGGTAACTAAGCCAAGTCTCGGCAGCGATCTTCGACATGCCATGGAGCTGGTGGCTGTCAAGGTCCTCTTGCTTCTGAGCGTGCCACCTTTCGATCTCACGGTTCTTGCAATAATTCTTACAGGCCAGCCTTCGGGTTTCGACGCTAAACTTGCCATGGCCTTTAGTTGTGAGCCTGAGGACCTCGCAGTAAAACTGACTGTAGTAAAAACGGAGGTAGCCCTCATCTTCAACGCTCATTGCCGGACTGGTGTGCGGAATGTCGAACACCTTGCAGGAAACACAGTTGCTGTCTCATGTTCCAGGCCAAGGAAAGCGTGCTTGCTGGAACGGCTTCCCAAGTCAGGAAATGACCGTTCTTGCTTAAGCAAAATTGGGTGTGATGGTTTTGCGCGAGAGTGGCCTTAGAGAGGACAAGGGCCACGTTGGCAGTTGGGCGAACACGCTCGTGTTTTAGGAGCAAGGCATTGATCGGAAGAAAGTGATTCACGTTACGCAGCTCTGCTCCAGGAGTGTTTCCTCCTCCTGGCAATAGGCCATTCTGGAATATTGACTTTAGATGGCGGAACTCTGTCATGTACACAAGACTGTCCGGAATGTCGGACATCTGGCACTGCTCAATGTTTAAGGTGGATGCCGGAACGTCGGCTCCTCCAGAGTGGCTTGACACTGCTTGCACGAAGACGTGAGCGGCCTTACACTGCTGTTTATATGTAGAAGCAAACGACTTCCGCTCTTCGGCATTGCTAGAGGCTGGGTGAATCCACGCACCGGTTCTATCAATAAGCCTCTCGCCACTCTGGTGGTCGCTCACCGACCAGGGTGCGATCTGGTAGCGACGGTTGTGATAGATTGCGAAGACCAACGGAAGCAGCATATTTAGAGCGCTCACACCAGGTCGGAATCTGGGACTTCTGGATGACCGGAAAGTCCGGATCATCGGTTTCCACGCATCGCTGCTTCCAGTCACTCAACAAGAACTTAAAACGGGCGCCTGCCATCAATTCAAAGACGGTTAAGGACTTGTCATTACAGTGTGGGTCCATCCGGAATGTCGGAGGACCCAACTGAGTTCCCTTGAGATCTTTTCGTAAATAAAAGTTTGCTGCGTTCGCTGAATGGCGGCTTCACTGAGATTAAAGAAACCAGACCAGAGACAGAACATGAAGCAACTGCTTACACCGTAATCGGGCCTGTCAAAGGCGGTATCCATTGCGTTTGGTCGTGTCCGGGCTCTCGTCGACCGGAACGTCGGTCGGCAGGCGCACGTGACTCTTCTCTTGATTCTGCACGAACTGGCGTCTGGCGTGCAATTCTCTCACCACTCGGTTCAGGAGCGGGCACTCTCTTTCCTTTACCTGTTGCCTTTCCTTTCTGGGGCCGTAACGCCGGCCCTTTCGAAGCGGCTCTGCTTGGAGCTGATGCTCGTGGAGCCAATGGATGGATCAGATTCCGAAGATCAAAAAACTCCGGCAGATTCGGTAAATCACCTTGCATGTTTAGGAAAAGCAGTTTCCTCCAAAGGAGGTGACTCAGTCTGACGTTCTGCGCTTTGACTTCTTTTCGACCGTGACGTCGGTCGGCTTGCAGACTTGGGGTGATTTTGCGCTTGGCTTTGCACGTGTCTCAGCGGCCTCTGGTTCAGTGACAGGCGCTGGAACCTTGTGGCCCATGGTCTCTTATTGGTCAAAGCTGATCTCTTCTGTTCGTAGCTGGTGGAGCTTGAACCATAAAAATTGCAATCGCAGACACAAATTTTCTCGAGACAAAAATTCACAAGAAAAGAATCACGTTGCATATATGAACGAATACACACAGTCTGAAATGTCTTCATCAAAGGATGTTAGAACAAACTGCGGATCCGGCAGGTCATTGATGACACACTCGGTTATGAATGCCTTGTGTTTCACAGGCGTACGGAAAGGTGGGCGTGCGTCAACCTGTCGGAGTATACTTCTTACCAGTTCGTCAGGTTTAGCAGTATGTTTGCTAAGAGGATCAGAGAGACAGAATTCACTCGCAACATGACTTAAGTCGTCGATGTTACCAGTGCTACTCTCGTGTCTGAGCGTTTGGATGAGGTGATGTGCTTCTTTCTGCTCTGGGAGATGTGTGGTTTGCGCAGTTGTGACTAAGTTGTTTGTGCCCGTTCTAAGGTGAAAAGAAAGGATCTGGCCACTGACATTAGCCCAGAGAACGAAGGAAGAAAAAAGTACCAAAGCACTTCATCAAGGCCTGAAGTTCAGCGACCGTGGTGGACAGAGTAGTCGTGGTGATCTTATGACTCTCATAGTCTATAATGGAACCACGTGTTGCTGAGCTGTCCTTCTTCTCGTAATGTCGAGAATTGTATGGACGTCTCTCTTCGGCCACATAGATGACAGCGCGGGCAACCCTGCCGGCTGGCCATAGCGGCCGGCCGGCCATGTAGTAGTAGTAGTAGTAGTCGTCGTCGTCGTCGTAGTCGTAGTCGTAGTAGTTAGTAGTGGTATTTGTATTAGTAGTAGTATTAGTATTAAATTAGTATTAGTATTAGTATTAGTAGTAGTAGTAGTAGTAGTAGTAGTAATAGTAGCAGTAGTAGTCGTAGTAGTAGTAGTAGTAGTAGTAGTAGTGGTAGTAGTAGTAGTAGTAGTGGTAGTGATAGTAGTGGTAGTAGTGGTAGTAGTAGTAGTAGTACTACTACTACAACCCGACGCCGTGCTTTTTGGTCGTTGATCAGCCGGCCGGCCGGGCGGCCAGTAGTGGTAGTAGTAGTAGTAGTGGTAGTGGTAGTCGTAGTGGCAGTGGTAGTGGTAGTCGTAGTAGTCGTAGTAGTCGTAGTAGTCGTAGTAGTCGTAGTAGTAGTAAGTAGTACGTAGTACGTAGTACGTAGTAAGTAGTAAGTAGTAAGTAGTACGTAGTACGTAGTACGTAGTAAGTAGTAAGTAGTAAGTAGTAGACAGTAAAGAGTAAATAGTAAGTAGTAAGTAGTAACTAGCAAGTAGTAAGTAGTAAGTAGTAAGTAGCAAGTAGCAAGTAGCAGGAGCAGTAGCAGTAGCAGTAGTAGTAGTAGTACTACTAGTAGTACTAGTAGTAGTAGTAGTAGTAATAGTAGTAGTAGCAGTAGTAGTAGTAGTGGTAGTAGTAGTAGTAGGAGTAGTAGTAGTAGCAGCAGCAGCAGTAGCAGTAGCAGTAGCAGTATCAATAGCAGTAGCAGTAGTAGTAGTAGTAGTAGAAGTAGTAGTAGCAGAAGTAGTAGTAGTAGTAGTAGTAGTAGTAATAGTCGTTGCGAGAGGATATCAATAAAGTTGAAATCATCTGGCTGTGGAACAGCTGAAAGATCTAATAAGCCCATCCAGGCTTTCGGCTTTCTTGCTTGCTACTTCAAAAACGAGGGGTCCAACTGACAAATTCACCGTTTCCGCCCAGGTCCTAAAAAGCTGCACGAAACGCCAGAGAAAGACGTGATTTGCTCCCAAGACAAAGTAGAGACGTAACGTGTCCTTGAAATACGTAATGCCGTTTCTTTCGTTACGAAGCTGTTCATTGTCAAGCATTTTCTTGTAATACTCTGCGTTTCCGGTCAACGCATTCTTTAGTGAGGGGCCGAGCTTCTCTGCGGAAAGTGTGGTAATGTTTACCCAGTCATCGATCAAATCTTCAAACTCAAACCAATATGACTCTCCATCACAGGACAGGGGAATCCTTGGCGTCATTTTGACACCTGGTGCTGGTTGTGTTTCATAAGTCCGGAACGTCGAATCTGAGGATCTGGACTGCTGGGAACGATACCTCGAACCTTGCGCAGCGTAAGCTTCCTCTGGTTCTGACTCTTCCTGACTATACTCTGATTCGTTGTCCGTATCCATATTAAACATCTGGACCATGGTCACTACTCTTCCGACAGGTGGGCTACTTGGTTGTCTCCTGTCCGTAACGTCGGACAATCCTGCGCGAAGCAAATTTGACCGTGGCGAAGCAGGAGACACAAGCTCCGCTACTACTTTGAGGGGTGAGTTCCCCAAAGTGGCAGCGAAGTACACTGGACCTGATCGATAACACCAAGTAAGACCCTCTCTCCTCTGGCTGGTGCGCGAGCGGCGGCGAGCACACTTTTCTATGGCACGGAGTGCAGGTATTGGACTTCAAATTCTTGAGCTAAATGAATTAAGCGGCAGCTGACTGAAGAGAACATATGTACAAGTAACTACGGACAACAGGCGCTACACGCGTATAGCGTAGACACCCAGGACTCTACAAAACACATGGGGTGGGTATTTGGAAAGACGTATTCATATACCGCGCCTGTTTTTTGTCTATACTAAGGAAAATGTTAAAGGTTAAAGAATATCTTGCTAGTGGTTATTGCGGCCTCCAACCTACAAGCGAAGGCCTCCATAGTAGTAGCGATGGCCTCCAACCTACTAGCGATGACACGCGCTCCGAAGCGATCACATTCCTGCGTTCCGAAGCGATCGTTTTTCTGCGTTCCGAAACGACTACAACTAGACAGACAGGCTGGCTCTTCAAAGCGATCTTGTTCGTCGGTTCTTTTCTTTCTGCAAAGACATCTCGTTCTCCTTGGCCACTTTTGGTCATTTGGCTCTGGTCACCTTCAACAGTGACCTCCCACAAAAACACAAGAAAAGCTAACCTCAGTAAGCCATCATTGCTTGTGCTCCATGGCTACCGTGAACTCCCAAGAGCATCGTTCGGCGTCCGCCAACTCATCCAACTTGAAGGAGCGGAAAGCATCTTCAATCAGCATGAAGCACGTTCACGAAGCATCTTCACGCAGTTGACCCACCCGACTGCAGTTGGGGCCTTCCTGGACGTCGTCACGTCATCTGCAAAGCAGCCGCCTTTCCAATAGCCCACTGCAGTATGATGCTCAGCAACTGGCCTCTGCAAGAAGTCAAATCTTGACGTGCATGGGGTCAACTGCAATGTGAACAGGTGAATTCATTGAACCAGGGCAACAAAGCATTCATACTTCAAAGACCTCAAAACGCATGTGTTTTGCAACACCGGCCGTCTTTTCTACTTAATTACCTGCCTTTGCCTTCCTAATCTCTTCAGCCTTCAAACGCTGCGCCTGCATGTTCACGGCACAAAACTGACCCGAAATTCGAGCGCAGTGTTGATGTGTTCCATACCACAAACGTGCAAAGGACCTTTTGCGCAAAAAGTGAGGCGTCAACAATCACCACAAAACATTGCGGGGCCAGAGGTTTTGGGCAGGACAAGTTCACAGTGATACACATGCCTGCTTGATCCGCTTCGGAGAGATGTCAACACCTGGGAACGACACTTTTTCCCTCGGAAACCATTTCACAAGCGTTACTGCCATTGGTCCAAAAGGTTAGCTCACAGGCGACTGGGGACCACAGCCGATTGCGTCGAGACCGTACCTCGGTGAAAGCTGAACGAGCACTGCGAGGTAACCTACTTGCGCAAACAGAATTTGGCAAATCAAAAGAGATTCCTAGCCAGTGAGAGACACGCGTTCTTACTTTGTTGGTGCTAATGATGTCAACCACCTTATGACATTCTAAGCGTATTGAGACTCCTGCAATCACATATGCTCCGTAAAATCTCATGTTGAATTTCATCGTCTCCAGCTCCCAACACAGAAGTAAAAGATTACCTACGTGGGGGCAATATCAATTTTAGCCTGCTCCAAGCTTGGGAACAACACGCTACCTTTCGTTTTTCGGCAGGGGGCAAGAGCACCATTGCAAGTCTCCTGTCAACGAAGGCACTTGCAAATGGTGGTGATACCAGACCTGATCAGTCTGGCATACCTGCAGTGATGATTTGGCACCACCTCTTGGGCCCCTTTGTTACTAGAACAATTCGCTGGCCTTTGCATCGGTTTGCGCTCTGCAGACAAGTGACCTCTTAGGCGGTTTACTTAAGCTGGCGTGTGGCAACCGCACTCAAGTCCGCCGCATTTCTATACATGCGTCTGGCTTCATGCGCTTGTGTGGACCCGTTGAACGTTTTCCGGCTCGGGAACGTAGGTGTCGGAAGCGGACAGCAGGAGGCTTAAGCCAGAGTTACTTGCCAAGACCTGATGAACTGTTGAAGCCAGCAGGCAGCCTTCGAGCAGGCCATTAGGTGACTGCAGCGGTCTTTCGGGCATGCCACCACGCGGTCGCAGCGACCAAAGCTCTTCAATGTCCATTGGGATCTGTCGGAGCCTTAATCCCTTTCTTCCTCTGTCCCCTCCCCCCGCTCTTCCTGTTTTGAATTTTTTGTGTGTTCCTGGACGCAACACTCAGGTACACCTCTCTCCCTAGCACGTCCCTGGACGCTTGGTATGTAGCTGGGAACACCTGCCCCCTTCCCCCTCTTTCCCTCCTCTTTCTCTTTCTTTCTTTCTTTCTGCATTTCTTTCTGTATTTCTTTTCTTTTCTTTTCTCTTCTCTTCTCTTCTCTTCTCTTCTTTTCTGTCCTTCTTTCTTTCTTTCTGTCTGTCTGTCTTTCTTTCTTTCTGTCTTTCTTTCTTTCTGCATTTCTTTCTGTATTTCTTTTCTTTTCTCTTCTCTTCTCTTCTCTTCTCTTCTTTTCTTTCCTTTCCTCCCTTCTTTCTTTCTGTCTGTCTGTCTTTCTGTCTTTTCTTTTTCTTTTTCTTTTTCTTTTTCTTTTTTTCTTTTCTTTTCTTTTCTTTTCTTTTCTTTCTTTCTTTCTTGCTTTCTTTTTTTCTGTCTTTTCTTTGCTTTGCTTTGCTTTGCTTTTCTTTTCTTGTCTTGTCTTGTCTTGTCTTGTCTTTTCTTTTCTTTTCTTTTCTTTCTTTCTTTCTTTCTTTCTTTCTCTCTTTCTTTCTCTCTTTCTTTCTTTCTTTTCTTTTCTTTTCTTTCTTTTCTTTTTCTCTCTCTCTCGGTTCTCTCTCTCTCGCTCTCTCCCTCTCTCTCTCTCTCTTTTTCTCTTTCTTTTCCTCTCCTTACTTTCTTGCTTGGGTGTCCCTGGACGCTTCCGTCATAGCTGAGAACCCTTCTCTTTTCTTGGACGCTTGCGTCGCAGCTGGGAACACCGTCGTTTCCTTTCTATTCTTTTTCTTTCCTCTCTTCTCTTCGTACCCCTCCTCCCTCGCGCGCGACGTGTCTACATACAAAAGGCAGTTACAACAGGTCTCTCAATGAGGTTTGGTTTCATCGGTTCCTGTCCCCTCGATTTGGTTCCCCTTTTCATCCTTTCCCCCCTTCACGCACATCTTTTTCTTTCCTCTTTTCTTTCATGTCTCCCTGTCTTCACGTCTGGGCATCTCATCCCTTCTTTCATTTGTGCTCGCATTGGTCCTGGCCTTAGTATGTACGCGCACATTCAGATCCGCTTCAAACCCAGGTCGGCCAGGTCCAGAAAACGAGGTGGGGCTGATCTTTTGTTCTTGTGGTTTCCCTTTCGTCCCAACCACGTAAATTTTTGCCCCATCTTGTCCTCTTTTCTCATGTCTTCATCTTTTTTGTCCCTCCTCCGCGCACACATGCACAGTAGACTAATTCTCCCTCCCTAATCGGGAGGGGTGTGTGTGTGTGTGTAACCATTGGAATGAGAGGGATCCGTTTGGAGTTGTTTTCGTTTTCAGCAGAGCAGGGGGCAGGAGCACCATTGCAAGTCTCCTGCCAACGAAGACATTAGCAAATGGTGACGATACCAGACCTGATCAGTCTGGCGTACCTGCAAGAATGACTTGACACTACTTCTTGGGCCCCTCTGTTACTAGAACAATTCGCTGGCCTTTGCATCGGTTTGCGCTCTGCAGACAAGTGCGGAACGTCGTCACCTTGTCGCCGCCGCTCGCTTTCATGTTCATGGGTTGCTTTCAACTTACTACCTGACCTCTTAGGCGGTTTACTTAGAGGAACGTGTGGCAACCGCACTCAAGTCCGTACGCATTTCTATAAGTGTGTTTGTGTGCGCGCGTATGTCTGCGTGTGTGTGTGTGTGCCCCACTCTGTTTCAAAGGGACTTTCCACCATACCAGGAACGCAGGGGCGTGTGGCAGTCTCGTCCTACCACACGCAACGAAGCTGTGGACAAGAGTGAGAAGCAGGGCCTAATCAGCCCTGTGTCCCTGCAGATGTCAAGACACAACCCTTCCTGCGCTGTTCGTTGTTTTCATAGTTGTTGTTCAAGATATCTCCCAAACCCTTTTCTAGCTGATTGCCGCCGCCTTGCAGCCGCGTTTGAACTTTTTTGCAACCATTGTTGAAACATCTCCAATTCCGCTGACTCAGCAGCCTTGCCGTTCCAGCATTCTTTTCCTCGTGGATTCTCTTACTGCGTGAAACTCTATCGAAGTGTGCAGGATTGGTGAAAGGGCGTAATCTATATGCGCTTGACGAAGGTCGTGACATTGATGTATTTAACGCTGCGAGTTTCCAGGCTCAGGCGCTCATTGGCAACTGCGAGAACTGTGCCAGCTCAGTCGGCTTTCAAGGAAAAACTGAAATCTAAGTCGCCGGGCCTACGGGTTTTCTGACTGCATGATTGAATGATTCACGGATTGACCACTGGACATTCGATGTCAACTGTATTTTTGTCTTCCACTTTGCACGTTTAACTTTTCAA